GTGCCGTCGCTCCGGCTCCTATCCAAAAGCCCTCGATCCACGCCCGAGCCCCTCACCACCAGTGGCGTGATCTCGGAGCATTCCCTCCGTAGCAAGCCCCGGCTCATTCTGTCCTGTCTGGCCTGGGTGGACCTCTCAGTAAAGCTTATTGATCCCCGCAATTCTGGGTCTCTGTCCTCCTTGCTTCCCGCTAGTGACATCTGAAGCCAAGGAATGTGGTGAAAAAGGAATTTACCTTCTATGACCCACAGTTTAGAAATATGGGCCAAAATGTAAAATATGGTACTATAGCACCACCATTAGGCTGACTGGTGTCTCTTTGTAGCCTTGAACAGTGACACCAAATTTCATGATTCTCAGTTATATACAAGGGTAATTATAGCCTGCGGAAATCTGACTGGCTGTTGTCAGTCATGTTTAATGAGCAGATGACCTTTTATTAAATGATTAGCTAGGACATCTGGCCATGAATACTGATACAAAATTTAATATTTCTGTGTCCAGTCGTTTGTTATGAAATTTGTGGCGAGACTTTGGAATGTCATACCAGCATACACATAGTAAGTTTGATAAGAATCCGATGTTCTGTTGATGAGGAATCAGTCATTAAGAGCAAAAAGTCCACACCCAACAAATTCCNTACCAGCATACACATAGTAAGTTTGATAAGAATCCGATGTTCTGTTGATGAGGAATCAGTCATTAAGAGCAAAAAGTCCACACCCAACAAATTCCTTGGTCTGTAGCATCGGAACAATTTGCCTGATTTAAATCCTTTGGACAACTTTAATATAATAATAATAATAATAATAATAATAATAATAAAAAAAAAAATCTAGCAAAAACATCTAGCAAATACAGCAGGGTTCCAGCAATGCATAAGAAATTTTTTGGAAAGAGGTTAATTGGAACCTCAATTAATTCACCTCAAAATACTGAGGTAACCTGTTGTCGTCGTGGTGATTCCATCTCGGCCCCCAGAACACATGCTGAGACCTTGATGCTTGATGCCACACTCTGATGCAGCCACTCCCAGAATCTGGCACCCATCTAATTTTCCTATGGGTGTCGTTTCTGCTCTCTACTCTCATTCCTGGGCCCAAATCTATGTTCCTTGCACTGTTCACTACTCAACTCAGTGTTATATTTGTTGTGTTTGTTACGTTTGTCACATTATGTTTGTTTGTTACATTGTGTTTATTACTATAAGTTTCTTATGTTACGTTTGTTATGTTAGGTTTGTCATGTTTATGTTTGTTACATTGTGTTTGTTATGTTTGTTACATTGTGTTTGTTATGTTTGTTACATTGTGTTTGTTATGTTTGTTACATTGTGTTTGTTATGTTTGTTACATTGTGTTTTTATGTTTGTACTTTCTACCTGCTGCTTTGTGGTGCTGCTGGCTCCAAGCTTTAGTCCTGCTGCCAGCTGTTGTTTGAGGAGGAGCCCCTGACTTTGTCAGCAGCACATGACCGGAGACGGGGTGGGCAGTGAGGCAGACTGACGCTGTCTCCAGCACCAGACAAACGAGGATTTGTGGCATTTAAAAACATTTCTGAGAAGCAAATCTGCAAGATTCCTGCTTATGAATGTTCTGAATATTTGTTTTATTTAAGCAGCAATAATCTGACCTTGTTTTTCCAGGCTACAGACTTAAAAAGCAAAGATAAGGGACATCATCCGAGATGTGTAAAGTTTTGCAGCTGTTACAAAATAACCTACAATACTTTAAAAATGTTCTCTCAGTAAACCATGTAATCAAACAAAGGGAATGATGAAGTTCCTCACTTCTGAATATGTGGCCAGGTTCAGCACAGTCAAAAGCCAAATGTGTCCATCGGCATTGCTATTAAAAATGGGACAGAACAGAGCTGGAAAACAGACTTCAACAAGCATAACCCACACTTGGTAATATGCTATTTCGGGAAAGAATCAAGTTTGTACACCTGACACAGCTACATCAGTATTGGCCACAGGATACTCAGCAGCATGACACACAGTGTGATTTCAGTCCTCCTAGCAGCACTAATGCTTTCCATTATCGCCCCCTGCTGGCTGGCTGACAGATGGCAGCGCTTCATGTTTCTTGCCCTGTCCCATACCAGCAGTTCGGCTCGGGGGAAGCAGCAGCTGGAGGTGTAGCTCACTTTCAGAGGCCGCCCCCGGACCCCGGCAGGCACGTCAAGCTTGGTCTGGCCATGTCCCACTCGCGGCTCCGCACGGTCATTGTTGTCTCCTCCTTCCGACTGACCTCCTTCCTGGAGAATGGTGAGGTTGCCCCGGCCCTCTGAGACTTGCAGAGCAGCCAGGCCGGCTCTCCCCCTGTCCACCACCATTAGAGATGAGGTCCATCTGCCACGGCTGCAGTCCGCAGTGCAGGACGCCTTCGCTTGTATTGCCAAACAAGTCGGGGGGGTGGCATCCTGGTCCTGGGGGGCAGAATGCGTGAGGATGTCAGGAAGGAGCAGCCCATGCTAAAGGAGCAGCTGTCAGCCTCAGGGACTCCCTCACCAGCACAATGACGTTCAGCCGCACCACAGCGTAGTTCGAATCTGGGGTGTCCAGCGCACGGGCACTCAGAGTGAGCGTCACCCCTTCCCCGGCTTCGGAGGCGTTTGGGGTTTTCAGCAGCACCTCCCCTCTCACCCGACCTCCCTCACCAGCAGAGAGCCTACGGTGAAAAGCAGAGAACCAGAATCACAAGAAAAGTCATTCCTTCAGAAGACTACCAGGTGCAATCTCCATTCAGTTTATTAGCAGAGCTTGTAGGGTTATTGTATTTGAATGGTGATGAGTAATTGGACGTTGAACCTACAATATTCTGGTGACAGAAACAGCCCCTTAGCCATGACTCAGACAATTACCTGCGAGGACCTTTCTGTAAGAGGAACCCGTGATCGTCTTTGGCGGTTAGGGTGAATTGCCGGGCAGGGCCGTGGTTCCACAAGTCAAAACGCACCATAGCAGTTTCACCAGGAATCAGGGGGGGCATGGAGAGAACCTGTGAGAGATGGAGGGGGGGGGTGACCCTCTGCTCGGTCTATAGCTCGGCACCCAGACTGCTGCTTTTATTCTGCTTGCAAACGGTAGCACATGCATTCCCTGGGCTGCATGTGTTCTTTCCATTCCTCATTATACTCAAGCACTTTGTTGGGACGTGTCAGGACTGTCGGCCCCTTCCAGGCTGCTGCCGTGTTCTTTACATGTGTTCATGGTTCCTGTGCAGGTTCATACTGTGTGGTCATGGTCATGCTGCAGTACCTGTATCTGCACATGCGTGGGCTGGATCATCTCCGTGGAGACCCTCTCCAGCCTGTTCCCCCTCCCATCTCTTCCAGTCAGCCTCAGGCTGAAGGGCTCCCTGGGCATCGAATCTATCCTGCCCACCAGCTCCTCGCTGGAGGAAGAGGAGGACGAGGAGGAGTTGAGTGGCACCACCAGAAGGCTTTCTCCTCTGCTGCCCACCAAAGTTACATGGCTGATAGAAACTTTGTCATCTGGAGACAGGCCTATTATGGAAAGTACCAGAAAGGTAGGCACACCTGGGGAGGACAGCAGTTAGTTAAAACAGCAGAAAACAAAAGCAAAATGAATCAACTCAAAAAATGCACCAAAAGCACAGCAGATTGTAATGTAAAGGCTTCCAGAATTGACCTTGAGATGAGAGCAATCAAATATTAAACTGTACAGATGTGTACAGTCTGGAGGTCCCCAAGGACCAGGTTGGTAAACACCGGTAAACTGGGGCATAACACCTCAGAACCCACACAACTCACACACTCCCCCTACCTGCCACGGGGGTGCCCTGCACCCTGGCCAGACCTGGGTGGGTGCCATTAGCCAGCACAGCGAAATAGTACAGGAAGTCTACACTGCTGTCACCTGGGGAGACGGTGAGGGGGGGGAGTGACAGTTACACTATACAGACCTTCAGTAGTGTTGTGTCCAACATATGCTGCTCAATATCTAATAACAAGGTCTGTCTGTGGTCACACCTATGACTTGGATGGTAATGTGGCCGTCTGTCTCTGCATGGAGTCTCCAGGTGCCCTGCTCAATGGGGGGCAGCAGGCTGATCCGGTAAAGGCCGTGAGATATCTCCAGGTGAGCCAGGGGGCGCTGCTGCTCCAGCAGGAACTGGGTCCGACCTGGAAGACACATCCGTGAATGACGAAAAAGAGAAGGCAGAAGCGTATGTGTGAGAGCATGATGTCACTGCATGCTTCCTGGAGGAGGGCGACTGTGGTGCTGCACCTGTAGGGCTGGTGAGGATGGAACTCTTCAGCACACCGGCTAGGTGCACCGTCACCGACTTCACCGCATGGTCCACGTGAAACGAGTGGAAGGAGGCGGAGACAGAATCACTGTCCACATGGAGCAGGGTGACCTTCAGGGGAGGAGGGGGGGGGAGGGGGGTCTGTGCTGAGCTGTTGGAGATGCTGATGCACATCTTTTGCTCTCTTTTGGGATGTCTTTGGGATGTGCTTACCGCACATTCAAAAATGTCCCCGGCAGATTTACCTTGCCGGCAGAGATGTTGTCCTGCACAATGGCAGACGCCTTTTGGATGTCACTGTTGGTGGTGGTGATGGTCAGGCCCCCTGACACGGAGGACAATTTGTAGTAGAGGGAGAATCGCTCTGGGGACAAGGCCTGCCTCACTCTTCTTATCTCCCTTCTCCACACCACGGGACTCAGGTCCTCCGTCAACAGGAAGCTGACCTGGCAGAGGTAAAGCAGCCTGATGAGTGAAGGAGATTGAGTGAATTGTCAGCTCCATTGTTTGTACCACGGAGGAGGGTGAGGGGTCTGGTGTCTGGCAGAGGATGTGCGGCATTGGGTGAAGGATGACTGAGGGGTGTGAGGAGGAAGATGCACAGGGGGTGCAGTATTGGGTGGAGGATTAGCAGGGAGGTGTGTGACATCAGATGGAGTATTAGTAGGGGGGGCAGTAGCAGGTGGAGGATTAATGGGGGGGTGTTGCAGCAGGTGGAGGATTGGGGGGGCAGCGGCAGGTAGATGATTAGTGGGGGGGTGCAGCGGTTGCTGGTGGATTAGTGGGGGGTGGCAACCTTGCACTGCTTCTCCCGCATCAGGGCTTCCACCGCATCATACAGGTGAGCATCTTTGGGGGAGGCATCGGTGAAGACAAACACTTCTGACAGGGGGGGGGTGTGAGTCAGGGCCAACTGAAACACACACACAGCCCAACAGACAACAGACTGGTCAGGGCGTGCGACTGCAAGTGTGACCACAACAATCGCACCACATGACAGCCACCAGGAATGCATTTATTCTAGTTAATGAGGTTAAAGAAACAGTAAGTATAAAAAGGCCTGAAGCACAGAGTTCAAACGATCTTTACAGTGGTGCTTCGTAATGAACTGTGAGATGATAAGCTGTATGTCACTGACATGAAACCCCCCCCCCGCTTACATACCAGCACTGCCGAGAGGCACATCTCCGGTTCATCTCCGCCCCCCAGGGCCAGCAGGCTTTCCATATGCCTCATAAACTGCTCTGGGTCGTCCGTCTCGTATACAGGACCTACCCCTGAGACACCAGGCATGAGATCTCCCTTTCCTCCATCAAACAGTCACCCTTCGCATTGAGGGCAGACCCAGATAAATGAGCAAAGTACCCCTTCTTACCCCCCCTCACCACTGCCCCCTCACCTGGGTCATGGAAGGGCACCAGGATGAAGGTGCTTGGCTGCTGCTGGCCTTTGGCACGAGCCCGGATGATGGACAGGGCGCGGAGGCGGGCAGCTGTGATCTCCTCGAACATGCTGCCTGTGGTATCCATGACGAACACGAGGGCCGGCTGCTGGCCCACGCCGAACAGCCTGTGAAAGGTTAAAGCAACGTCTACACAGCTTACTGTGCGACCACAAGCCACACTCTGCTGTACAAAACAGATTGTTGAAGCCTGTGAATATGTGAATGTCTACTTCAAACACTTTCTCCCCCCTAAGGGTAAAGCAGCTGCATCCGGACATCTAGGCAATGAGTCTCTTGAATGAACTCACCAAACACTCAAGTAGGCTTACAGTAGCCTACCCCGAATTAGGTAGCTCTGCTCTAAGATATCATTTTGCTATTTATCTTTTATGACTTTAGAGTGGTTGGCACCCCCTCCTGGGTTGTTTCCTGCCTTGTACCTGTAGCATCCAGGATAGGCTCCAGAGCCCCCGTGACCCTGAATAGGATGAGGGGCTACAGAAAATGTATGTATGTATGGATGGATGAATGGTTGGATGGACATTAGAGTGCCATCGTTTGTTTGGTGATGAAGGCATCTCGCCCTACGTCCACGGCCTACCTCAGGAAGCTGGAGGCTCCCACGGCCTCCCTCAGGTCCAGCAGCACGGCCCTGGTCGCCGCGGTGGCGAGCTGGGCGGCCTCTTCATGGAGATAGTGGTGCGGGGAGAAAAAGGGGGAGGTGCTGTCCTTGTTGATGCCGCCCTGGGCCCCGTGGTGCCGGCTGCTGTCCAGGATCCCGCCATGGCTGCACTTACCTGGCAGTACAGGGAGACAGAACTAGGGGATCCATGCAGCATCCTGACAGCTACCCTGCATTTCTACCATCACAGTGAAGCGTGACGGAGATCTGCAGATCAGCCATATGCTGCTCATAAGTCATGAACTGGTCTAGTTAGTCATCTTCCAGTGCCTTTTTTTGCTCTCTGCTGGCTGCGAGATCTGAGTGTGGACTGGTTTGAGACCCTAACAAGTTTCTAGAGCTAGTCCAAGTCTTTAAGAGCAGTCACCCTTCCTTGATCGTTCTCATCGGGTTATCCACTTGTGTTGCATTTCCTATGCATTTCAGGCCCTTTCCACCAATTCCCTGTAAGGCATTGTGAGTTTACTCCATGCTGGGCATTTCTCCCTGTTGTCCTGATGTTTGATTTGAATTGCCCTCCATTTATTGGTCCAGCGCCTGTTTCTTTACTGTGGTGGTTTCAACTCTGATTCTGCTGTTGTTCTGTCCCCTTTTTACATTTTTTTTACTGATTGTTCATTGACAACCTTGAGTTTTAGATCATGTTTTGGCTTTGGATAAATCAGTGACTCTGGGTTGCTGAGTCAAGGTTGAAGGAGCCCTTGTTTTTGTCGTCGGTAATCACAATGGAAAATGTGTCTGGCTGTAATGGATGGACATGCACTGAATTGCTGCTGGTTGTAGTACTGCACCTCCATTGGGTGTGATGGTTGTACACATTGGGTGGTTGCCGGTAATACTGCTATGCATTGGCTGTCTTTACTGACAGCGACAGTGTCATACCTGGTGGTTTCTTGGGCTGAGTGCTGAAGTACCCCGTGGTGAGTAGTGGGGTGTGCTCTCTCTCTGTGAGCTGGCTCAGGATGTTGTTCCTGCAGCTGCTTGTGTAACAGTCAGTGCAGGTTGGAGTGTCCTCTGGAAGGGGGGCATTAGTATTACGGCTTCACAATGTTGGCAATATTTATAAAGCAGAAGGGAGTTCAAAATAAATCAATTTCTCACAAACACGTCTGAGTGATTTAATGAGCGAGGATGAAAGTGGTTAGGATTTGGCTCAGAGGGCGCAAGCAGAGCTCATGCATAAAAGTAAGCTTTTAACTAATGTTAAACATATACTCCTTAATCTCGAAAAGGAATGGTCATTCAAATTGCACAGCTTGCTAAGCTTCGTTTCCTATAACAATTTAAACGTTCTACGAAACGTAAATTCCCTGCTCTCCGTCAACTGTATCACCACGATTTCTAAATTTCTGAATTGTATTGAAAAATAACGTTTCTTATGAATGCAACCAAGTAATAGGAATTTCATTGTACTTTGTACATCTGACACTAGCTCAGATTGAATTTGGAAGCAGAAGAAACATAAACTGCCATTAGATTTTGAAGAACACTGCACACAGATGGACATAATAGTGTTCTGAATATTTTCTCTCTTGCTTCTGAAAATATACAATTCATCAGGCCACTCATTCTTAAAAACTGTACTGTATATAAACACATAGTCCAGTGACAAAAGGTGACCATACTGCCCCCAGTATTTTTAGTGACACTACATCATACGTTTGCCGAGTGTTCCACTCGTAGGTGCAGAGATGATACGTGAAATCAAAATAGTACATGATGCGTATGTGGGTGCCATGATGCGTATGTGACCGGCAAGATGCGTACGTCACCGCCATGATGCGTACGTGGCTGCCATGATGCGCATGTGGGTGCCATGATGCGTACGTGGCTGCCATGATGCGCATGTGGGTGCCATGATGCGTACGTGGCTGCCATGATGCGTACGTGACCGCCATGATGCGTACGTGGCCACCATGATGCGTACGTGACCGGCATGATGCGTACGTGGCCGCCATGATGCGTACGTGACCGGCATGATGCGTACATGACCGCCATGATGCGTACGTGGCCGTGATGCGTACGTGGCCGCCATGATGCATATGTGACTGGCATGATGCATACGTGGCCGCCATGATGCATATGTGACCAGCATTGTGCGTACGTGACCGCCATGATGCGTATAAACTGGCCCGAAGGGAAATGATTGCACTGTCTCATCTGGGATGCCCTGGGCGACAAGCCTCACCTGAAGCCACTGGTATTGAAGGCTCCTCTGGGTGCAGCAAATGAAGGTACAAGGAGCGCTGTCCCATCTCCACCCAGTTGCTGTGGCTGTAGAAATCCTGGCCAGAGAGGAAGAATAGGAGTTGCAGGTCACTTTTGTGGGTTTGGTCCCTGGGTCTCTACATCTGAGACCACAGGACTCATTGTGTTTGTTTAAAGGCATTCTGATATTCTGAAAATCCATGGCCAGATTATATAAACAACAGTCTGGAGAGATCACTCTATCTTATAGTAGATTATGAAGCCTGTTCCTGAAATGCATGTACAGTCATGGCCAAAGGTTTTGGCAGTGACACACATTTTGTGTTTTGCAAACTTCTGCATTTTTTGTTTTTACACGTTTCTGTGGTATGCTGAAGAACAATTATAAACATTGAATAAATTTCAAAGGCTTTTATTGGCAAATACATCAATTTTATGACAGATCTTCCAGATGTTGGAAGGGGGCTTCAGCAGAGAAAATAACTTTGCACCAGTCTTCTGCTGTCCAGTCCTTGTACTTCAGAAGATTGTTTGGTACATCTGGAAAATCGACTGTTTGGAGAAGAAACGCTGAATGCTACCATGAGTCCTGTGTTGTAACAACAGTGAAGCATCCTGAGATCATCCATGCGTGGGGTTGCTTCTCATCCAAGGGAGTGGGCCCAAAAACACTGCCATGAATAAAGAATGGCATCAAAACATCCTCCAAGAGCAACTTCTTCAAACGATCCAGGTGCAATTTGTGATTATCTGTGTATCTTCCAACCTGATGGAGCGTCACGTCACAAGGCCAAAGTAATAACGAAATGGCTCACAGATCATAACACTGACACTTTGGATACGTGGTCAGGAAACTCCCCAGCTCTTAATCCCATTGAGAAGCTGTGGTCAATCCTAAAAAGCAGGTGGGCAAGCACAAGCCCACAAATTGTGATCAACTCCGAGCCCTAACAAGGCAAGAATGGCTCGCTGTCAGTCAGGATTTGGCCCAGAACAAATTGCAGAAGATATGAAGAAGAAAGGTCAACACTGTAAATATTGACTCTTTGCATAAAATGTATGCATTTACCTTTAAGATGTATGAAATGTTTATAATTGTCCTTCAGTATATCATAGAAACACGTAAAGAAGTTATCTAAAAATGCTGAAGCAACAGTTTGCAAAACAAAATTTGTCACTGCCAAAACTTTTTGCCATGACTGTATTTTATTAATGCAAGTATCATCCTAATACAATTTGAGCAAGAGCACAACTTTCAAAATAATACTTATGCAGCAAAGCTTTGAGAATGTGGAGCCTGCAGCTGTATCACCTGTAGGGAATGGAACAGCTGGCCCAGACTCTGCCGGGCACCTTGGTACTTCTTGGCCTGGACAGAGAGCAGGGTCTGGGCCCAAAATTCCCGAAGCATGGCAGCAGCCTCCTCCACATGCTCGGAGTCGAAGTGGTACACCGGGTCTGACCGTGTGGAGCTCAGGAAGTCCATGGCGGCGTTGGCTCTCACCACCTCTCCAACTGCATGCCAGAACTCCCGGCCCAACCTGTCCTGGAAACGGTCCACACTGGATGCTGTGAGTCTGCCGCTGCCCCTGTAGGTTCCCTACATCACCACAGGTATCGACAGCTTCTCCAGGGGACAGATCGGCCCATAATGCGGCAGGCTGTGGGGGTTGTGTTAAGCAGGTTGCCAGGGACAGCATTAAGCAGACTGCTGGGGACTGTGCACAGTGTTAAGCAGGCTGTTAGGAACAATGTTAAGCAGATTGCTGGGGGATGCGCTAAGCAGGCTGCAGGGACAGCATTAAGCAGTCTGTCAGGTACAGGGTTAACCCGGCCAATGGGAACTGTGTTAACCCAGCTGCCAGGGACAGTTTTAAACAGGCTGCCAGGGAGAGTGTTAAGCAGGCTGCTGGTGAGTGTGTTAAGCAGGATGCCTGGGACAGCGTTAAGCAGGCTGCTGGGAAGTGTGTTAAGCAGGATGCCAGGGACAGCGTTAAGCAGGCTGCTGGGAAGTGTGTTAAGCAGGCTGCTGGGGAGTGTGTTAAGTAGGCTGCTGGGGAGTGTGTTAAGCAGGATACCAGGGACAGCATTAAGCAGGCTGCTGGGAAGTGTGTTAAGTAGGCTGCTGGGAAGTGTGTTAAGCAGGATGCCAGGGACAGCGTTAAGCAGGCTGCTGGGAAGTGTGTTAAGTAGGCTGCTGGGAAGTGTGTTAAGTAGGCTGCTGGGAAGTGTGTTAAGCAGGATACCAGAGACATCGTTAAGCAGGTTTGCTCTTCTCTACGTCCCTGTGGCTCTTTAATGTACTGTATCCCCATTAGGATGATCACTCAGGCAAACCCTCGGGATCCGCTCACTCACGCTCACCTTCCCTGCAATGCCTCTGTCCATGGCACCCAGCGTCGCCAGTGTGACGTTGAGCAGGGCCTGCTCCGTCATGTATTGGTGTGTGTGTGAGCTCCAAGACATCGTCAAGATCTGGGACCAGAAGTTGGGCAGGAAGGCCTGGTGACCGGGCAGAAGCAGCATGAGGCAGCTGAACACCCGCAGCCTCGGGTGGGGCATGGCCAGTGCACAGCCCACTGGTCCACTGACGTCTCGGGGAAGAGGGTGAAGGGAGGTCTGAGGAGGAGAGTGAGGGGCGTGCAGATTCTGATTTACCTCCTAGTTTGCTTGTTGTTATGTATTTTAGTTTGTATTGAAATGCTTTAAGCTTGAATTTGCTGGCTTCTATAGAGAGAGTCGCACTGAGAGTCAGTTGGTGAAGCACAGGAGACAGATGGCAGGCGGCTGCATGCGAGTCCATCGCATGTCGATTTGGTGAGACACCACTTCATCGAACCTATTTTTTTAAGAAATCATGGGTGCAGAAATCAAACCCCACAACGGTGCCCATCAAAGCCCATGTGGCACCCCCCCCCCCATCAGCAGATGGTCCCCAATGTGGCCACCTATAGGGTACGTCACTCTTCAGTGTGTCACTCTGCGGTGTACATCATTCCTGAATTTGTGTTGCTCCTGAGTGTGTCGCCCTTCAGTGTGTGTCGCTCCTGAGTGTGCCTTGCTCCCGAGTGTGCGTCTCTCCTCAGTATACATCACTCCTCAAAGCCTGTCGCTCCTCAGTGACTGCTGGCCTCCCTGCCCCCCTGTGGATGAGCTCACCATTCCTTTGCAGGGTTCTCTAGAGACAGAAGCTGCAGCCTATTCAGGTTTAATCGTGCCCAGACAGATCCAGCCTGTAAGCTCTGCAGCCTTCAGCTTTGCCTCCTATAAACATGCAATACAGATGCCAAGGACGTGTCTACGATAGTACTCCTACTTCACTCTGTGTGGATGAGGGCTGACTGATGCTTTATTCTCCCTGCACTATACATCATTTTCTGTTTTACGCCCCAAATCGATTGTAAATGATTGTCTGCCGACGTGTTTCTCTGCCAATGGCTGAGTCTGCAGGAGAAGCAGGAGCAACTGAAACTACGCAGAAACACACCCTCTTATGCCTATGGCACACAATGTAGGTCACCACCCACTGAACTTATCTTCACATACAAAGCCCCTCCAAAGCGGAAATGATCGCAAACCATCCATAGACACCATATGCATTTAAATTTGCAAATTCTCATCCAGCTCATTTGGAGAACTGACCTTCTGCTAGTTATCAGAAATTCCTTCATGAACAATAATTGAACTTTTTACACCCTGACCTTTGAATGTATTTGGATTAATGTGCTTTTAATAGCCTAAATATTCTGAAGAAGATGACCCCACACAGTTTTTCTTTTCTTGGTGGTCATGAGGATCTCCTGCACCTACCTGAGTTAGGGTCGCACTGCTGTGACTCCGGCAACCTGCAGCCGCGTGATCGCCGGCAGACACCGTGTGTGTGTGTGTCTGTTGACAGGTTCTGCAGAGAGAGTCACATCGAGTACAGAAAGTGAGAGAGAAAGACAGAACGTCCCATATCTGCTGCCTGCCACACGAACTGTGTATCTGCCCCACCCGAGATGGGCCCCTACCCCACCAGACATGGGCCCCTGCCCCCAGCAGGGAGGACATCACGGGCGTGCTCATTACTGTGTAACGTTAATTGTGCACAGTGCAATAAATAAAAAACATACACAATCAAAGGATCCACAACTTACACAGTAACTGTGATTCTTTTGCTATTCAGCTGCATGTTCAGTAAAGTGCACAGTGAAATAAAGAAGCTGGCCCAGATATGTTAGACAAACAAGGTGCTCAAACACCATATAGCTGATCTCCTTGTCGATATGGCAGTGCTGTTTGGTTTTCATTGTGCGCCCTTTCATGTGACCACATCATGTGGTTTCATTGGTGATTGTCCGGCTGGCCAATATCAACACTATTATCTAAACCCAGACTTTCACTTGTGCCATGTTTTTTCCAGCTGCTGGAGTCTTTGTTGTGTAGACATTCATACCCGTTTCTTAATGACACTGAGTGTCACCTATATGGTGCAGCTAACATGTTTACATATCGTCCTTAAGTGCAATTAGTAAAATTTAATTAAGGATGAATGCGAGGAAAACACGTGTAAATAAAAACATTAAAGGCATCAGCCTCTTTCTTCAGCTAAGTGTAACTTACCTCTTGTTCAATATGAGAAAACATTCAAGTAATTGCTATAAATTCTGAAAGCAGGTGAGATGTTCTATTCAGATGTTACGCAAACAGGCGTAAATTCTTACCTTGGCTCATCGCCTTGCCTCTGGTCTCCTTGGCGTCTCACCTCTGCTATGGCCACGAGACTGACGATGTCCCGCCCACAAGGGCTCCTGCAAACATGCACTGAAGTTGCTCTGCACCCAGGTACTTGGCTTCTGCTTTTGCTGCTGTAATGGGGGGGGGGGAGTTTATAAATAAATAGCACACAGGCTGCGTGTGATGCAGATAGCCCACTGGCAGCACGTGAAGGCAGCTTGCCTCTTTGAGGCCGCAAGCTCCTTGGCTCCGCCCCCCTGGCATTGAATCTTCACAATGAGGCTGCATACATTGTTGGCTGCTTGTGCTGTGGCCTCACACTTCTCCCCCACTTTGCTCTGGCCAGTACAATGAAGACACCACCCTGCTTCCCTCCCACACGTGGGAAGCCTTTTATTATGTCATGGTGGGAATGTAAAAGCAGAGCAGTTGCTAACCAACGCAACTCTTAGTATCAACCTTGAGGCTTTCTGCACCTTAACAAAGAGACAAGACTGAACACAAAGGTCCCGCTGTGCCTTGTCCTGCTCAGCCAAGGCCCACGGCGACTGCTGAGCGCTAAGTCTCGTTGCCCATAGAGACAAAGACAGCTGTGGCATCATAGTGAGCTGTGCCCACTCCTGTTTGAGCGAAACTCCCCAGGGAAAGAGAGGAAGGTGTGGAAAGCAGGGAAGCAAAATCAGGAGATCCCCAAGTGAGCAAAACAGTGAGGAATGGATGAGTAACATGGGGGATCGGTGACGAGATGAAAGAAGGAGACAATGAGCAGCTCAAGAATGCAACTCAACATATGACTCACTTAGCCCAGACACCCTGGGAATGAATGGACACATGAATAAGGTTCTTCTCTGGCAGGCTGTCTGCACGCTGCAGACGAGTAAATAGCACACGGGCTGCGTGTGATGCAGATAGACCACTGGCAGCACGTGAAGGCAGCTCGCCTCTTTGAGGCCCCGAGCTCCTTAGCCCCCCCCCGCCCGGCATTAAATCTTCACAATGTGGCTGCATACATTGTTGGCTGTTTGTGTTCCTTATTCTCTGACTGACTGTTTGGGATGCTGCAGATGAGTATGTTAAACACCTTATTCTCTGGCTGTTTGGGATGCTGCAGATGAGTATGTTAAACACCTTATTCTCTGGCTGTTTGGGATGCCGCAGATGAGTGTGTTAAATACTCTCCCTAACAGGAATGAGCAGCCACCTGTGGCTGGAATCAGACTTGTTCTTGTGTATGACCTCAGTTCCTCTCTGTCTGCAGGCTCATTTCAGTGGCTGTGCTGACATCTCCAACCTGCTCTGACTGTTTCCAGGCCACTCACACTCGGCCAGGTCCTCCAACAAATATCACCTGAACTGCAGGACTTTACCTATCAATGTTCTCTTTAACCTGTGCCTCTTAGGGTCCTTTAACCTACCTTTTCTGGGGAAATGACCACCAATATTCTCAAAAATAAATGAATAAAATAAATGATTATAACATCACTGAGACCTCAGTTGGGAACTCTAGCTCCTACCCCAGCAGGGACTATAGCTCCTTCCCCAACAGGAACGCTAGCCCGTACCTCACAGGGGACTCTGGCCCCTACCACACAAGGGATTCGAGCTCCTACCTCAGCAAAGACCCTAGCCCATTCCTCTTCTGGGGAAGCAACCCCCAATTTTCTCGAAAATAAATTAGCAGAACAAAAGATTAAGTTATATGCATAAAATGTAAGAATAACATGACTGATTATCATAGATACACAGTCTAGTTTTGAAAGTACTAAGACATTCAGTAACTTTTAGGTTTTCTGGGAGGGACTTTCAAAGTTTAGAACTGTAGTGACCTGAGCAGAGTTTTAGGGATAATCAGCAAATGACCATCGGATAATCTTGGTGACCTGCCTGGGACGTACTTTACAGTCATGTCACCGAGGTAGGATGAAGCAAGACCATGTAAACATTTAAAAATTAGCAAAATAACTTTTAAATCAATCCTAAAAGCCACAGAAAGCCAGTGCAGGGATTTAAAACAGGCGTGATGTGATCCCTGCGACTGGTGCCTTTTATCACTGTGGCAGCGGCATTCTGGACCCGTTGTAGATTTGAAATAGATTTCTTAGCTAGACCAGACAGGGTGCATTACAGTAATCTATTTTACTTAGAAGAAAAGTATTTATTAATTTTTCACGGTCAATACATGACAGCATACCCTGGACTTTGACAATATTATGATAGTGATAGTATGCAGTTTTGCAGACATTGCTGATATGACTGTAAACCTTTTAGAATTCAACCTTCATGACAACAAACTGCTTTGTGACAGATGATTTTCATAAATCAGTAAAAGCTGGAAATGTGTATTACAGTTTTTTTGGATTGCTTACACACTAAAATTAAACGTAGTACACTATTAGCAAAACCTTACACTCAAGAAGCAAAACATCAGCCCATATTTGCACAACTATAAGCACATTGTCAACCTCACACTTGTTGCAAAACTCTACACACAGTGATTTGCAAAACACTAAACACACTTAACATACATCACACACAAAAATCTATCATGAAGTCACTTCCTTGCAATTCCAAAGCACTGAACTGTCA